GCCATACAGTTTGTAACCAATATAAGTCTCTGTGTTTACTTGGTCGGGTTTGAGCGGCTGTGGGACTGGCAGGTAAGAGAGATTTGTCCTGACTGTGGGCCAGGCAGGAAAACTCTAGCTACAGCTATGAGTTGTTTTCTCATCTTTTTTGGAGACATTCTCTCACTGGCTTGGATCTTACTGGGTAAAGTAGGCTGGCTGGCCATGGAGCCCAAGGGTCTGCTTGTCTCTTGCTCCCCAGGACTGGGATTAAAAGGACATAGCACCATGCCTTACTTTATATGTGGGTTCTGGAGTTAGAGCGCAGGTCCTTATGTTAGGTTAAGCTCTTTTACTGACAGCATTTCCTCAGCCTTCAATGTCACTGAGTATCATGTTGATTTTAAGAAAAAAACTTCTTGGGGAGAATCATGTATTTGGACCATGCAAGTACAGTGGGCACATCAGTAAGGATGGCATGCCATACTGGTGGGGTTAGTATTTTTACACATCCTATTGAAACAAATGATTTTGGTGCTAACAGGATAAAGATATATTATGTGATGTCTACCCTATCTAAAAGGCCAAGCATATCGATAATGCCATATTATTGATGCATTTATTCTCTGTGTCAGCTTCTGTTTCTGCCATACACTACCTGTATAAAATGCCTGACCTCATGCCACTGTGGACTGTGCTGGTCACCTCTGCTTGGACCTCTTGCTTTGGTCTGGGTTGTCATGTGTTGCCACATCAGCATGTGCTAAGGAGTTCACATTTTCCCCATCTATTCTCACTTTCAACTTGCCTGTATCTTTCCACCCTCACCGTAACAACAAAATAACAGGAATCAGGAAACACTGCTTATTGATAACTCTCAATATTAACGGTCTCAATTCCCTAATTAAAAGACACAGACTGACAGGTCGGGTTAGGAAACAAGGTTTATTTTTCTGCTGTATCCAAGAAATGTATTTCATCAAGGACAAAGGCAGATATCGCCTTAGGGTAAAAGAGATGATCATGGCTGTGCATCAGCTTCTGAGAATAAATCAACTGTGCATGGAATTAATATATTTCAGTTTGAGTACCTTTATGACATATCCAACTCTATTTTTTTAAGCCCCTACAATTAATGCCCACTGCTTAGTGGGTAAATGGCTGACAGCATCCAGGCATGTGTCACCTGAGAGGTCTGTAAAGGACTGTGAATGATGACCTTCACCCTGAGGCTAACACTGATGTATCCACACATTAATGCCATAGTCACTGTTGGAACTGTAAATGAACTTTAGAAAGGGTGAAGTGGAACTGAGGGAGAGCTTGTTGACCGGAGCAGAGGGGAGGATTGGTGACAGGCTGTGTAACCTGCCATGGCCTTGCACACAACACAAGCTAGAGAGGCCTGCATCTTCACAGGTCACCTATTCTGGAGTACCTTGGATCTGGCCTGGTGACTGGCACATAATAGTACTAAAATCTAGCTCCTTTGCTTTTCCCAGTGTTAGTGTGGATTTCCCACTGTTTGTTTAGGTTCTGTGTTTTATTGTGTTCTCTTCATTTTATATTATCTTTTAAATTCAGTAGAAGAGTTTGGCTCGGGTAACTGTCCTTTACTAGGCCAATGGTCTCTGGAGCCGGGGGTGACTTGCACAAAGAGAGCTGGAAATGACATGCCCAGCAGAACTCTTATTTTTTAATGTGAATTCTCAAACATACATAAGATAGAATAGAATCATGAAATATCATGTTTCACATAGATTTGAAACACATCCATTGTGTTTTACTTATCCTACCTACTCCATAGGCACTTGTATTGTCAGAGTATTTTAACACTAATCTCTTATATTAGGTCTCATTTCATGTATATAATTATTTCCTGATAGGAAAAACAGTGTGATATAATCACTGCAACATAGTCATATCTAGCAATTTTAATAATTATTTTAGAGTCTTTCAGAAGCTGTTCTGTGTTGTTTCCTTAACTACTTGTAACTGTAGGGAAATCAAATTTACCTTACAATTATATTGCATTGGCTTCCAAAATTTTGAACTTTCATCAAGTTTTTCTACTCCTGTGGGTAGTGCCCAGATGGACCCATGGGCTATTTGTACTAGAGGACTTAATGACTTCCTTTTTTTCTGGGACCAAACACATTTGTTGAACACTCTGTACTCGACCGCGTTATAATGACTGACATCATAGGTTTTACTGGGCAAAGTTGTGAGAAGTTTGGCAGTAAAGTTGGGTATTATTCTGAATTTGAAAGGGGCCTCATGGGCTTGCCTACTGACTATCCTGTCGCCAGCTGGGTGCTGTTTGGGGACTCTGCTGGGCCTGGCCCTGTTTCTGGTCCTGTTGATCTACCAAGATGGAAGGTGTGCTGCCACATTGTCCTGCTCCCACTGAACCGCCCACCATGCCTTCCTGCTGCAATGGACTGCACGCCGGAAACCCTGGGCTAAAATAAACCTTTCTTCCTTTAATTTGCTTCTGTCAGTATTTTGTCATGCTTTGGGTTTTGTTAAGAATTCACAAAATTGCCGGGTGGTGGTGGTGGACACGCCTTTAATCTCAGCAATTAGAAGGCAGAGGCAGGTGGATTTCTGTGAGTTCAAGGCCAGCCTGAGCTACAGAAAGAGTTCCAAAACAGCTAGGACTACACACAGAGAAACCCTGTCTTGACAAACAAACAGAAACAAAAAGAATTCACAAAGTTTGTTTGGCTTCAATGTAATGATACAGTGTGCAGGAGGCCTTGGCGGGTTGGGCCAGGGTGCCCGGTGGGTGAAGGAGGCAAGTGATGCAGACACAGCAGTGGGCTGTGGTGTGGAAAGTCACTCACACTGTCCAGACACAGCATACACGTGGGAAGTTTATTGTAATAGGAGAGAGAGAGAGAGAGAGAGAGAGAGAGAGAGAGAGAGAGAGAGAGAGAGAAGCAGAGGTGCAGGCAACCTCATGGAGAAGAGAGAGGGAAAGGGGATGAAGAAGGGGGAGGAGTTTTGTCCTCTTAAAGGAGCTTTACGTCAAGATACAGAGCAGGTCCTTGAGGGGTGGGCCAGAATGACAACATTCAGTGCTTGTCTTTAGGTAACATTTGTTATCCAAAATACATTTTGGGGAAGGTTATCCTAGCAGGTAAATGCTCCCTCGAAATAGCAAATAGAAATGTTTAACTTCATTTTACTCTTAATTAATTAGATAAATTTTTGTCCACATCATGATATTCAGGTAATATGTGGTTTTGTTTTCCTGAAGTCTACTTAATATTAATGTAGTATGGTAGGTCACACTGTATGAGTAAATCTTGTGTAACCATGTTGGGCTTCCACAAGATAATCATGAAATAAGAATAGCTAAACAGAAAGTCCCTCAAAAGGAAAGATAATGCACTGGAAAATGGAAAGGTAAGGTAGAAAGAAGATGTGAGGAAGCCAGGAAGACAGCTCCATGAACAGCTGTGGACTGGATTGCTCTTTATTTGTGAAAAATTGGCCAAACACGACTTTAAGAATGTTTAAGCAGTTGCACAGACATCTTACAAATGTCTTCATTCCCATGTAGCCCTAAAATACATTTATTTTATGAAAAACAAAAACACCAAAACTTTTTTCTAACTAACTCATAAATAAAACCACCACCTGCCTGGTTTAAGAAAGGCATTTGAGTGCTTTCCCAGTCCAAACTCAGTGAACTCTTTATGGTTAGGATGGCCATTCTGAAGCCAGGGAGCGTTGCTTAGAGTCTTACATGTTCATTATCAGCTGCATTTTTATTCACACATCTACCACAGGAAAAAACTATGACAGAACTGAAACTAGAAAACTTAGTCTTCTATCATCTTAGGTGTCCTGTGCATCCTTTACCTGCGTTCTGTCTTTCCTCCTCACCTAATACCTCTCATTCCTCTTTGTACACTCTATGCCCACGCTTGCTCCTGTTTGTACATATACACTTATATGTTATAGACTAGGATCTGCATGTGAGGGAGAACAGGGAGTTTTGTTCTCATCTGAGTTTAGGCCACCTTACTTAATATTATACTTTAAAACTCTGCCTGTTTTCCTGAAATTTTCATGATTCTTTTTTTACAGAGGAGTAATATCCATTTGTCTGTCAAGGACACTTGGGCTGGGTCAGTCTCCTTGCTGTAGTGGGTAGAACTGCAGTTTATGCATGGGCGTGCCAGTCTCTCTATGGGAGGGTGTAAAGCCTTCTGGGTATATATATGCCCAGGGGTGGAATATGTAACTGTTCAAAAACATGAATGGTGAACAGGGCCAAATGAGGCCAGCAAGGGTAATTGTTCTCCATCCTTTCCATCCTCTGTCCTCTGTGCAGATTGGGTGTGGCATGAGGGCTCTGCATCCCCTCCTTTCTAGCTAAGTTCAAGTGATGTCCACCAAACTCCTTCTATACCTTGCTGATCTGCACACTGAATCAGCACCTTGATAGGCAGGGTGTGTGTGTGTGTGTGTGTGTGTGTGTGTGTGTGTGTGTGTGTGTGTAATGTGTATTGTGTTGTGGTGTGTGTGTGTGTGCTTGTATGTGTGGTGTGTTATGTGTGTGTTGTGTGTGTGATGTGTGTGTTGTGTTGTATGTGTAGTATATGAGTGTTTGGGTGTGTGTGACGTGTGGTGTATGTGTGTGTTTGTGTGTGATATGTGAGTGGTGTGTGTGTTTTATGGTGTGTATATAGTGTGTATGTCTGTGTGTGTAGTGTGTTTGTGGTGTGTTATGTATTGTGTGTGTAGTGTAATGTGTTTGTGTGTATGGTGTGTGTGTGTTGTGGTGTGTGTAGTGTGTGTGTGTTTGTGTGGTGTGTGTGATGTGTTTGTGTATGTATGTTGTGTGTATTGTGTGGTATGGGGTGTGTGTGTGGTATGTGTATGTATGGTGTGTGGTATGGTGTGTGTGTGTGTGTGTGTGTGTTTGTGGTGTGTTTGTGTGTATTCTGTATTGGGCTGCCTCTTTGCTCTCTGGTGCCCTAAAGATAATTTGTCTCTGTTGTTTACAGTCAAACTACAACTCCAAGCAGAAGAGAGAGGGGTTGTGTCTATCAAGGGAGTGTGTGCAAACCGGTACCTTGCTATGAAGGAAGATGGACGGCTGCTGGCTTCTGTGAGTAATGCTTTCTGTAAGGGGTTTTCTGTGGGAGGCCAGCTCCCACTTTTACCCAGGGTACTCTTGAGGAGAGAGGGATGAGAAACTCGTCCATAGAAAGATAGCAGAGTTTGAGACAGACAGAAACACAAGATAGCTTCAGGAGGACCTGGACCAATATCCACTGGCCCCTTCTGTTTCTTCAAAAGGGCTTTTTATAACAATGCCAAGGGGCGGGGCAAAAGACCTCCCCCTTGCTAGATCAAAGCATACTGCACAGCCAAGTGCAGACCCTTCCAAACACCTGGTAACCATGCATGTGGTCAAGTCATCCCCTTATGTAGCCCTGCTGGGTAAAGCAAGCTCAGATCTCACTAGGAAACTTCTTTGGACCTCCATAGCTCTCCCTTCTTAATATAATAAAGATTGATATAATAAAACTTAATATAATAAAGCTCCTCAGATCCCCAGATACTGTGTCTGCTTTAGGTCATCTTCTTTTGCTTGACAAACCTTACCGGTCATGGAGATACACTTTCCACCAAGTGTACTCTCTCTGTCTTAGGTTGGAAGCCAGCAAGAAGAGCGTTGCCCATCTCTGACTACCAGCCTTTGGCAGGAGGGGGTACAGAGCTTAATTTAGACCTGACTCAGGTCCCTACTAAGAGCTTGCAATCAGTTGGAACAACCACAGCGATCCCTAGGCTGCCACACCCCCCAGTAAAGGAGTGGAGGATGATAAAGATGGAATGTTCTTTTTTTGAATCTTTTTTAAGATGTCTATAACAGCTTAGCTGTTCCAAGCACTTTTTTAAATCAACAAACTCTTAATGCAAACACATCAAATAAACCGTATCAAACTTAAAGATTCCCTTAGCTTTACCAAACCATGGTTCATTAATATCAACATAATTCTAGTATGAACATTACTATACATATTTACAACTGAGATGAATATTTATTATACATAGTTACACTTCTTACAAACTTACATTCAAAAGTAAACTCTATAGAACTACTTCGCAAACTTAAGCAAACATCTAAAAGACCTCTTAACTGAACTATTTACATTTTCTTCTAACAAGACAGAGAGTACATGAATCATGAGTCACCACAGTTAAAATTTCAGATGAACTCAAAACTGTTTCATTTTTCAACTGACAGTTTGAAACCAGAGCCTAATTTGTTAATGGCCCTAGAGTCATTGTATTCAGCTCCCTTGACCCTGGGAATGGGTGAGTGCTGTTCCTAGGGGGCTGTAACACTGAGGACAAAGCCACCTTTCCTACTGGGCCATTCCAGCCATTCTGGAACTGGCAGAAGGGCACACAATGGCAGATAGTCACTAGCCACGGGGCTGTTCCTTTACTCATTGCAGCTCCCCTGAGTGCCACAATTCAAACAAAGTGCTACTGAAACTTCACTCCTAGCTATAGCAGCACTTTTTGGCAGTCCTTCCTGGGAACCTTGCTTCCAGGGCGAGAATGGTTACCATAGTAACCAAGTCCCTTTTCTGCTCCACTGGTAAGACTCAGGAAACCTCTTAAAGGGGCCATGTGTTAATTTGGTGCTAGAAGCAGTGTGGCTCTGGGCTCTATTTCATTTCAGTTTTTCTGGAGGAATGTCAGCAGCTATGGTATCAGAGCTGACATTCCTCTATTCTACACATCATACCAAATGTTCAGGCAGCCACCAAGCTTCATTTGATGACTGAGGGTACAATTAATTTCCCCCTTTTTAAGTTTTTGAAGCTGCATCTTAAGACTGCCATGAGCTCTTTCAATGATGCCTTGTCTTTGATAGATTTCTATTAGCCCAGTGGTTCCTTCTCTTGCATCTCAAGGACAACTCAAGTTCTTTATTCACCCTTAAGCTTTTTCCATACCCAAAGCAACTTCCCAATGTACTGACCACTTTCCCTTGCTTTCTAAAGGGTCTCAAAGCTTCTTGACAGATGGCATTAGCATTTTAATTGCCTCCTAACAGGCAAGCTTTGTTCATCTGTTTCCAGGCCTCAGGAGTTAAGGCGTCTAAGCTTTCTACTCAGTCAGCAAACAGAAACTGCATGACTTTGGATTCTGGCTTCATTCAGCTTTTTTTACTGTCCCAATCTGTCTGTGCCTCCCTTCTCTGGGCCTGCCTGCCTAGAGACCCTGGCATTCTGAGTCTCTGAGGGCTTTCTCCTACCTCATGCTGCATGGCTGAACATCACCCATCTGCTATGAGCTACTGTTCTCAAGCAGCCCTTCTGAGTCAGGGAGAAAACCCAGCCATGGCCAGTTGCTGCTGCTGCACTCCTGGCTCTGTTTACATGGTCTGTATTTGGACTGAAAATCAAGATCAAGCTCTTGCTCTTTGCTATGGGAGGTTTTTTCTTTTCTGAGCTCTCATTAGGACATCTGCATTACTGTTTGACAAGTACACCTCTCTAATCAAACTCTCCATCTGACATTGTTGCCACAGTGGGTCACAGCTGCCTGCACAGCTGGTTACAGCTGCCTGCATGCATGCACACATGTACAGACCAGCACTTGATACCAGAAACAAAAATCCCTTGGGGCTTCACTCCCTCCACTCTTCCCCACCTCACCAGGTCAATAAAAAAAATGAAACAAGAGCTTTTTCAGAGAGATCCCCCCCCATAGATCTCCTTTGTCCGTGCTTGTCTCCTCCCCTCAGATGCAGAGTCCCTGACAATGCTACTGCTGCTCAGGCTCTCTCCTAGCCACTTTCTATTCTGGTGGTAGGGCCTTGATCCATTTCTGCCTTGTTTGTATGGCCAAACACAGCCTCAGCTTTTCCCCGTGCTGCCATTGCAGCTACTGCTAGGGACTTAGGCCCTGCTGTTTTCATTGCAGGGAGGATTTCAAAGCCTCCTCTACCCTCTCCACACCAGGGCTCATCCCAGTGGTGTCTTGTCAGCCAGCAGGTTTCCCCCACAGCTCTGCCCTTGGGGATGCCTCCTGGTGACTGCAGGGACTTTGGTGTCCCTGGAACACACTCAAATTCAGAGGTGCCTACTTCCTGGCCCTCCACTAATTGCTTTCTGAATGCTGGCTTGAAGAGGAGACACAGCTCTAACATTGAGGGCTTGCAATGCTCCAGGGGATTTTTGTGCTAGGACAATTATAGGTGATTCTCCCATTCTGATAGATGTTCCCTCCAGGTGAGTCTAATTCTGCCTCTATAGAAGGAAAAGAGACCTGAAAAGCTTCCAATTTTTTGAGTAAGAGAACTTACTAAGTTTTCCCCAAGACTTCCATTCCCTAAACTCAGCTTCATGGCCAAGAGGAAACTGACCCTGATGGTATGATGTTACTAACAAGCGTTTTTATCCAGTGGCACTGGAGCAGAGGGTTTTGTCTCACTCTTGTCCACCTCAGGGAAAATTCTCTCTCTGCTGCTCATGACTCAGATCTAAGCTGTCCACAGGCCAAAAGCCTCCACAGGAATCTTTTCCATCCTGTTTTCCTCATAGTATTTTTGCATTTTGGCTTCAATTCTCCCCCAGGAGTTTGCATCCAGAGTTCCACAGTTGGAAAACCAAGGACACAGCTCCTCTGTACTTGTTGATTTTCTACATTACCCTAAGTTTTTTTCCTACACTATATACCTATACCTAAGCCCTATATTTTTACTAATTTTAATAGATAGAAATTGAGAGAGAGAGAGAGAGAGAGAGAGAGAGAGAGAGAGAGAGAGAGAGAGAGAACCTAGACAGAGACACTTGCTGCAGCGTGACTTCTACTACTTGTTTCGCCTTTTCTTTTAGCTGCTTTATCTATACACAGTTTTACTCTCCAAGACAGAATACCATCACCTTTACTTTTTCATATTTCATAACTGGACATGTCCCACTGCTTCTGCAATGCCTCCTACTCTCCTTTCCCCATGTCCCTAGTCCAGGCACCACCTGTGGGGGCCAGCTCCCACTTTTACCCAGGGTACTCTTGAGGAGAGAGGGATGAGAAACTCGTCCATAGAAAGATAGCAGAGTTTGAGACAGACAGAAACACAAGATAGCTTCAGGAGGACCTGGACCAATATCCACTGGCCCCTTCTGTTTCTTCAAAAGGGCTTTTTATAACAATGCCAAGGGGCGGGGCAAAAGACCTCCCCCTTGCTAGATCAAAGCATACTGCACAGCCAAGTGCAGACCCTTCCAAACACCTGGTAACCATGCACATGGTCAAATCATCCCCTTATGCAGCCCTGCTGGGTAAAGCAAGCTCAGATCTTACTAGGTAATCCCTGTGGGCCTCCACAGCTTTCTTTCATTTGCTTTGTGCAGTTCTTTACTAGCATTGGTACTGAGTCTTTGTTCAGGTTTTATGTGCATCACTTAATCTTCATATTCCCCTAGGTGTCACGGACTGGCCCATTGGGGGTACCATGACCGTAGGGGAACCAGGGCTTGGGTAGTCAGGAAGGCAAGGATTCGGCGAATGACAGACAGACAACACATTCAGAAGTGGTTTGAATCTGCTGTAATTTTATTTCTGTAAATCAGTAGTTTATATACAGAAAAGAAAACTATCAAGTCATACAAGGAACAATGAGAGTTTGGCAATAATTTAATCACATCATCTTTTAAAAAAAAGCAAGCACACAGTTATTAATTGGCACTAGACATATCCCTTCACCCACAAGAACTTTATGACCCAAAGAGCAGTCTGTGTTTTTTAAACTTAGTACAGTCCCTAGACTTGTGTAGACTTCTTGCGGTTGCAGCTGTATCCTTCATCTTTATCTCAGCCACTCTCTAGTTTATTATGCACTTCTACTTTTCTGATTCTCATGACCCACTTAGCCAATTTGGATGCTGCAGATCCTCCCTAAGTCTTTCTTCAGTTCTTTTATCACATATCTGTTTTAATATAAAACCTTTTTACCTGCTGGAATATGGACTCTTGTACTTTTACTCCTGTAAGGGGAAGGGGTTCTGCTGTAGTCCTTAAGTTTCCCATGCTGAACTTCCTTAACAGAGGGAGCCACCATCTGCCTCCTATGAGATAATG